TCGAAAGGCCATGGCAATTTTTCAACACCAGGAGCGGCGTCATCAAAACCCATCAACACCTCATCGGAACCTCATCAAAACCTCATCAACACCGACCAGACGCCCATCGGCAAACCGCCGCCGAGAACGTCACCAGAAGTCATCAAAACTCATCAAAAGTCATCAAACCCCCATCAAAAGTCACCACCGATTTCAGCGGCGCGCGGGGGGGGCATCAAAACCCATCAAAAGGTCATCGAAAGGTTATCAAAATATCATCGAAAGGTCATCACCAAATTTCGTCGGCGCGCGGGGGGCCATCAAAGCCCATCAAAAGGTCATCGGACCTTCCACGCCAGAGGGCAAAGCCCCCCCCGCGCGGCAATCGGGGCCCCGCCCCCCCCTCCTCTGCCGCGGCCGCCATTCGGATCGTGGCGCGCGTCTGTGAACTGCGTGCGCCGCCCCTCGTGGCCCTGTGGCGAACCGAGGCGCCGTCGGAGCTCGGCGCGGGCGGCCCCTGGGGCAGCTGGCGCACGCCGCGGCGCGCGCTCGGCGCCCTCTCACCTCGGCTGGCGGCGCTGGGCTGCCCCGAGGCGGCTTGGGGGGGCATGCGGGGCTTGCCCCGCCTCCCCTCCCCGCCGAACCTCGCCGCGCCCTCCCGCCGAGCACGCACCGCGCGGCGCGTGCGTTGCTGCGCTCGCCCGACGCCGCGCTCGCAGCGCGCCGCCCTCTCCCTCTCCAGCCCATCGGCCATGTCACCAGCTCCGCCATCGCAACTTCGCCCAGCGATCGGCGGCGCGGGGGCGCCGAGCCAAGCGCGCCTGATCATCGCGCGCATGCTCGGAACTTGCCAGGGATGCACGCTGCCAAGCCGCCCGAGGCACGCTGCGGGCATCGCAAGTAAGTCGGTAAGACGGGGGGCGGGAGTCCTGAATTTTCGCAATCTACAGGGGTGCCCCCAAACGTTTCGCAGCGGGGGGGCCCGAACAGGGGGGGCCATAAAGTGCGGCGCGTGGCGGGATGTCGCTCGCGCGCCCGACGGGTTCGGAGCGCGGTCGCTGCCGACGGCGGCGCCCGATTGCTCGCTGCGCGCGCGTCGGGGGGGGGGGCCTCGCGCGCCTCGGGGGCGCTCCGCTGCTGCATCCAAGCAAGCGCGGCGCGAGAACAAGCGCACCGCCTCCGCGCGCGGTCGGTGCATCGGCGCGGCGCGGGCGCGCGCGCTGTCGGATATCGGGATAGGGCGGCGCCCCCTTGGCGCGCGAGGGCAGCCATCGGCCACCGCTCCCTTTCGGGCGCGGGCCAAGTGCAGAGCCAGCCTGGCGGCGCAGAGCGGAGGGGTTAGACCGCGCCGGCGCAAGCTGCGCCAAGGGCAGCCGAGGGGGAGGGCGCTGCGCGCGGCAGCGTGCCTTGGCAATCGCGCGGCCCCTCGCCCCATGGCGTCGGTTCGCGCGCCTCGCGCGGCGGCTTCGGCTGCGCGCGGCGCCCATGCGCGTGGGCTTCTCCTGCGCCCAACCCAGCTGGCAATGCGTTGCATCTGTCGGACGCGCGGGCGCGCCGTCGGCTCCGCGCGCGCGGCGTCGCGCCCGCGGGGGTTTGTTTGGCCCCTGGCGCATTCGGGCGCGCGTGTCCGACGCGCTCGCCGCCGATCGGCCGCGTTCGATGGCGCAACCGCGCGCGCGCGGCTGTTCCGCTGCGCGACGTCGCCGCCAGAGCTGCGCGCCCAACGCGGTCCATCCATTGCTTGCGGGGGTGTCGGCCGCGCGCAATTAGCGCCGCGGGCCCCATGCGCTTGCGCGGCATCGGCCGCGCGCGCGAGCCGCGCCAGTCTGGCGCCCAGGCGCGGCCGCTGTCCCACGCAAACAGGGCGCAATCGCCGAGCGCCGCTCGGGCCCTCCGCGCCGCTGTTCATGGATTGAAGCCAGCGTCACCTCAGCTGCCGTCTGCAGTTGTTGCGGCCGTGGTTGATGAACATCCTGGAGGTGTCGCATGTCGCCGCGATCCATGGGAGGGCGCCACGCGTCGCCGAGCGCGCGCGTTCTGGTTGCTTGCGCAGCGGCGCCGTACCTTGGCGGCTGCCAGTTCAATCCCAGGGGTCGCGCGCCGTGGCGCGCGATTGGTTTAACCAGCGTTCCTCATCGGGCGCGCGCAGTTAGTACAAATCGTCGGTGCCCCTAGGAGTCATCGGTTTCGCGCGCTTGCTGCCGCCCATGATGCGCGGCTGAGGTGAATAGGGCGGCGCCCATCGCAACGCGACTGGCAGCATCATGTAAGTATGTAAGTCCACGCGCGGCTTCCGTGCTCCATGGTCGCGGACGGGGGATGGTGGTGGTGGTGGTGGGGGGGGGGGGGGGGGGTAGGCGCGCCTGACACTTAAGGCGCGAGGCGCGTGCTGGTTGCATGGCAAGCGGCCACGTAGATTGCGTTGTCTGCCGCCCCGTCATCAGGATCCCATTTCAGTCCACGGGATGGCACCATAGCTGCATTTTGGGGGATGTCCTCAGCGCGTCCAACCACGTGGCGGCCATGCGTCCATTGGTCGTGCTTGCATCCACAAGCCGTCTGCGTGCCATTCCAGGCTTACTTCCTCGACTCGACGCGCGTTTGTGTAGGAAGGGTCTCACGCGCCGCGTGCCCTTCATGGGTTGCGGGTATTGATTTGATAGGCAATTTGCCAGTGTTGGACATTGTCGCTGTGCCATTCCAGTTTCTGGCCGTTTCTGGACACCCGCAACCCGTTGCATCCTTGTTGTTCCTTATTCAATGTTTGGCACCCATTTGCATCCACGCCGCGTCGGCAAAAGCCAAGGCACACACCGTGTTTGGCAAACGCATTTGAATAGATTCGAGCGTGCGCAGGCACGTGCAACGACGATTGCTCACGGTTGGTACGTTTCGGAGTCATTCGCGAAGCGTCGCCCCGCATTGCCATGTATATATTCCGGAGGCGCGGTGGTGACCGATGTGCGTTGCCTTGGCAGTGGTCGTTTGAATTACCAGAGGTTGTTGTCGCACTTGAGTCATCAATTGTTTTTTTGCTTCGTGATTGAGGTACGTGTCTTTCGTCTTGAGATTTAGGGCCACCTGAATGGCGGGCACTTGTCTTTGGAGCCACGCCCGCGCACGTGTTAAATGACCCACGCGTGTCTACGCGCAGCAAACGACCGTAGTATGACACTTGGCGGCTTGGACCGCGATGGAGGGCGCATGTTCTTTTTATAATGGTTTGGCTCTCGAGCGTCGCGTACACTCGCCCTTTGCATTGTACCAGTTGCTATCGAGGGAGTTATTTTCAATGCGTGCGGGCTCCGATTGAACGCAGACGTCACTTGGCCAATATTATGATAACGGTGTCGGCATTTATCCGTTGATGACAGCTTCGATGTGCGATCTTGGTTTGTTGCATCCAATTGCAATGCTCGGTTTTCTGAATCAGAGTCTCTGCCCACTGGAGCAGGAGAAGGATCAGGAGGAATAGGGCCGCGGAGTGCGAGGACGAGGGGGAGGACCAGGAGTGGAGATGGAGGAGTAGGAGGTGTAGGAGGGGCAGGTGTAGGAGGAGCACCGATACCCAGGGCGATCGCATGGCCTCAAGAGCGGACGACGACTGCAGCACGTAGAACAAGCAACGGCAACGATTTCGCTCAAGCGAACGGCAACCAACGTTGTCTGCAAAGTTATGTAGGCTGAGCGTGTGCACGTGAGCAGCCAGCAGCGCATTGCATAGCATCGCATAGCATAGTTTCGCACTCAACTGTGGCCTGCTCGCGTAAAGCACACGTAGGTAGTACTATGGCGGGCGGTCAGGGGAGACGGCGGAGTCGCCGTCGTGTTATAGAAGGCCGATGTTGTGTCGCTCTTGCTCCTCATCCTGCTCCTCCTCATCCTCCTCCGCCCTTCCGCCATCCTTCTCCAGTCCCTCCTGGTGCTGACCCCCGCATCCTCCCCTACTTACTCTCATTGCCTCCAGTGCTCCCCCCTTCTCACTCCTACCCCTCCGCCCCTCGATGGCGTACCCCCCCGGCTCATAGTCCATTCCTACCCCTACTCCTCTCTACTACTCCTACTCCTACTCCTCCTCCCCCCCCTCCTACTCCTACCCCTGTGCCCCCCGCGCCTCCCACTACTCGCCCTGCTCCTCGTGCCCCCCATGCGCCCACGCCCCTGGGGGTTGAATGGGATGAGTAGGTCGGTAGGTTGAGTAGGTCGGCAGGTGCGTTCGGGGTGTTGTGGCGCGCCCTCATTGGACCTCACTTTGGGCCCCCTTCCCTTGGCCCCTTGGACCTCTCCTGCATTGGACTCTGCCCTTCAAGGCGCCCCCCCCTGGAGCTCATTGAGGCCGCCCCTTAGGGCTTCACCCTTGGAGCCCAACAAGTAAGTAGGATATTAAGCTAATATGTGGACGCGCCTGGGTTGCAGGGTCTCAGCTCAGGTAGGGCAGGCTCAGGTAGGGGCAGCTGATGCCGTCGTGGCTCAGGTATGGCACGCCAGGTAAGGGTGGGACAGGCCAAGTAACATAAGCCAGTCATGCCGCAGGACATGGTTCATAACTGAAGGCATCGTAGGTCACAGGTTGCACAACATACAACGCGACAGGGTAGCAAAGCAGTAGGAGTGTAGGAGTAGGCGTAGTGATGAGGCCCTCTGTCTGGACCCACTTTGGGACCTTATCGTGGCGCCCTGGGCTCTCATCGGGACCACTGCCCCTCAAGGCAGCCTCCCTTGGGGTCCCCCTTGTGGCCTTTCCCTTGGGGGTCCAGCTTGGAGCCTGCGACTGAGTTAGGACATCCACCCTCCACCCTCCACCCTGGCAAAGTCATCCAACCTCCACCCTGGTAAAGTCCACCACCAGTCAGGCTCCCCCGTGGCAGAATCCCCCCCAACCTCCACCCTCCTCCGTCCTGGAGCCGTTTTGGCGCGGTGTTTGCGGCAGCGCGGCGACAGCGTCGCCCTTTTTTTGGCCCGCGAGGGCCCGAACGAGTTCCAGGCTAGAGTCGGAGTCGGGAGCTCCGAGGTTGCCTGCCATGGCTGGCAAGAAGCGCCAGGCGGCAGCGGACGGTGAGGGCGCTCGAGCAAGCAAGATTGGCCTCCTTCGCCGCGGCAAGGCTTCGGGCAGCGGCACCGACCCCGTGGCCTGCGCCCGCTGCGACGAGCCCGTGGATCAGCAGCCGGGCTTTCGAGGGAAGGCCAGCGGACGCGGCAGTCTGCCGATGCACGGCTGCGACCAGTGCTACACGGGGTTCGTTCGCCATTTCCAGCAGTACACGGCTTGGCAAGACTACGTCGAGAGGTGTCGTGAGGACGAGGACTCCAACAAGGACTGCGAGATGAAGATGCAGGCCGACGTCGAGCTTGCCGCCAGCATTGGCGATGCTCTCGGCGACCACGGCAGCGTCGAGGTAGATGTGAAATACGGCCAGGAGATCAGCAAGACGCCGATACAGTTATCCAAGGACCAGTGGGCTGATAAAGGTCTGCTCGAAGGGGGTGGATGGCATGGCGCCTGAGATGTGCAAGGTGTAGGAAACTCGCGTTGGCTCCGCTATGCAACCAGGTGTGAGCTCGACTGGCGCCATCTGCCAGCACCCGACGAAGCCCTACACGGAGATCAATAACCACACCAAGACGGAAGTACGCATGAGCACGGTCAAGACCACGGCCGCGAAAGCGGCAGCCCCAGGAGGAGAGCAACATACACTCAAGCAGGAGATCACGAAGACCAGGCAGAAGCAGGCGGCGATACCCAGGGGGAACGCCAAAGTGCCGACGCTCGACCAGTTGCAGGACATTGCAACCTCGGAGGCTGCCAACCGTGGGCTCGTGGTGCCGCCAAAGGCCTCTGGTGCAAGGCGTGCTGTTTCGGAGCTTTTGGCCATCGAGTGCGGGGGCGCCGACGCGCTGGAGGGCGGCGCAGGCGATGGCGACGGCGATTCGCAAGGCGCTGTATCGCTGAGCCCCGCTGGCCCCAGTGCCACGGTGGCGCGTGCGACCGCGAGGGGCTCCACCGCTCGCCGAGCTACGGGCGCGAGCTCTGCGACGCAGGGCAAGTCTTCTACTCCTGCGCCGTCGCGGATCGGGAGGCTTTCGTCAAGTACCTTGGCTGCCTTGGATTCGCCAGCAGGCGCGTCGGAATCACCTGCTCCAGTTCGCGACCGCTCGAGGTCGCCAGCGCCGATCCACGCGGCGCATCTGAGCTCTGGAAGCAAGGTTGTTCCGAAGGCGACGCAAGGCGCCGTGGCTAACGACGAGACGCGGTGGGAGCAGCTGAAGCAGGACGCCGTCATCGCTCGCATCCTCGACGGCATGCCGAAGTGCGGTCGCGTGTGCTCCTTGAAAAGGTTCAAGCCTCAGTCGCCCAGCATCGCAATCATGGCTGAGACATTGCACAAGAAGGCTGAGACGGCGACGCTGCTAGCGAACAGCCTGAACGACATGAGTTGGGGCCAGATATGTGCGTACCTCCAGGTTCTCTCAAACGAGGAGGTCAAACGCGCCTACAGCTTCTCACAGGACCTGCTCAGGAAGTACTTGCAGCTGGCCGAGCCCTCGATCGATCAGATCGCGGATGCGATCTTGCCTGTCGCAGCTTGCTCCGACGCCTTCAACGTGCACGAGCCCAAGCTCTCCAGCATGGCGGGGGACATTGGCTCGATGGTGGCGGTGTCTCAGGAGATCCCCATGGACATCGTGGTGCTTCCTGGCTTGGCGCGGCCCGCCTTGGTCGAGCACATGCAGGCGCGTGGGGTCGGCTTGACCGACCAGTTCAGTGCTACCATGCCAGGGCGGAGCGCCAGCGTCAAGGACTACTTCGAGAAGGTTAGGGGCGCGGGTCTCTTGCTGACCCACTTGGGCAACGGCGACCCTGAGACGTTCTCGGACTGCGCCCCGCATATGGCATTGCTGGTGGGTTTGCTGACAGGGGGGTTATCGGATCCAGAGTGGCCGCCTCTCTCGGAGGCCTTCGGGGAGCACGAACCATGGGCCGAATGGAAGTCTTCGTTTCGACGGGCTGCGTCGCCTGACCTCCAAGCTGCCCCGAAGATGAACGAGCTGATCCTGAAGCTGCACGCAGCAGACCTCGATGAAGATGGCTTGGTTGCTCTTGAGTCTGCGATCTCGTCCATCGGCCATTGGAAGAAGACGCGCCGTGGCAAGGCATCGCCGACACTGAAAGCGGAGCAGGCGGTCCAGGACACCATCCGGAGGCTGGCAACTCAGATCGTCGACAGTTCCGATGCCCTCGTCAACTTGGACTTCCTGGGCAAGCTCGAGGTGATCATGCACCACTTCTCTGTGGCTGCGGACTTCGCGCTGACCGAGGATGGTGGTAGATTGGAGGGTGCGCACGCTCGCTTGCTGGACAAGCGTAACGAGGTCGAGATCTGCAGGAGTGGGGTTGAGATCCTGGCGGCGGCCCGCAAGTACCTTGGCGATCCCACCGAGGCGAACGCAGACGCTCTGCACGGCACCCTCCAGAACAACAAGAAAGTTGCCACCAGCGGGGGGGCTGAGATGGCCGTCGCCGCCAGGACTGCAGCCCTGCTCCACCAGAAGATCGAGCTGCTGAGGTCGATCGGCGTCGATGGGCTGGTGCAGCGACCTGAGTTCAGCACGTTGGTCCGCGGGGGCTTGCTGCTGGAGAGCATCGGAGACCTGCTGATGAAGACGATCAAGCACGACGGCGACGGGAGCAACCTCAGGATGGCCGTGAACATGAGGGGCTACGATGTGAGATCGAACCTGCTGACGGCACAGCTTCTCGAAAAGTTCCAGTGTACGGCGGTGGACCCGAATGCAGACTACAAGATGATCAAAGACGCATTCGATGAGCTCGGATCGTTGATCAATACACTCCCTTCGACGACCTCCGACGAGTTCGACGATGTGCTCACGAAGTACGACTTCGACGCCTTCAAGGCGTTCTCAGAGTTGGTGGCCCCTTGGAAGCTCGTTGCCGCTGCTGCTCTGAAGGCGTACGCCGAATCATGCGTGGAGGGCGCCGCCAGGGCGGCGGACGAGGTCAACGAGAAGCTTGCGGCCATCGCAGGCGGCATGGCGGACGGTAGCGACTGGCTCGACGGCTTCGATGGAGACAGCTCCGACTGGGCTGCGCTGTATGCGCACATGCGGGCCACGGCGTTTCGCCAGACAGGCATCAGCAACAAGATCAAGTCCCTCGAGCGGGAACTTCGCGAGAAGCAAGCCGACTTCAGCAGGATCGCAAAGGATTACAATGTTGCGGAGGTCGGCTTCCAAGATGCCCGCGATCGCTGGCAGTCGACCGTTGCGAAGGCTAACTTGACTGTGACAATTGCGTCGCTGGCTCGGGCGGTGTCGGCAAAGGGGCCGCAGGGCGTGGACGGACTGCAGCGCAACCTCGACGCGATGCAGGCCAAGAGCGTGGCCGTTGAGAGCATCCCGCCTGCGCTCTGGGCGGAGGTCCAGCGCAAGCTGGCGCAGTGAGGGCGAGGAGCAGGCCGCCCCGCTGCCGCGCCCAGAGGGGGAGGGATGAGGAAGAGGAGGAGGAGGAGGGGGAGGAGGAGGAGGAGGAGGAGGAGGAGGAGGAGGAGGGAGGGAGAGGAGGAGGGAGGAGGGAGGAAGAGGGAGGAAGGAGGGAGAGAGGGGAGGCCGCCCAGCAACGCACGACGGAGACGAGGGGCGCTGCCGCTGCTGCCGACAAAGCTGTTCCTCCTGAACTGCCGCCTCCCTCCTCTCTCTTCCTTCTCTGCTCTTGCTTCCTTCCCACTGCCGCCTCCGCCCTCCCTCCGCCTCTTCCTCCTTCCTCGTCCTCCTCCTCCTCCCTCTGCCTCCTCCTCCCTCCTCGTCCGTCTCTCCACCAACCCTCCTCCTCCTCCTCCTCCTCCGTGGCCTAGTTCTCTTGATGCTGATGTGTATGTTATCCAACGGTGCCAATGGGTTCGCCCATCAATACGCAGTCTTGGAATCGGCCCTCTAGTGGACAAACCACCCCTAATGTCACGGCTATGTTGTTAGCCCTTCGCCTGCCCAGGAAAGTGTTGATGACCTCTCTGGGAGCCCCCCGAGGGTGGCGATCACCCAACTTTGACGCCAGGGTGGAAGGCATCAAACTCGATGGTCGTTCCGGACCATCAAAACACATCAGTTGTCATACATGCCGCCTAGACTGGCAAGATAAGTCTCAATCCTACTCCTACTAAAACTGATGCTACACGCTGGTAAACCGAAACCTGCGTCCAGTCGATCCTTGTCCTTCCTGTGGTGTGGCTTACTTGTCGAGGGTGGTGGAATTCACCAAATCCAAAAAATGTTAGCGATGTAAGATGGACACAACAACTGCGTCCGTGCAACCTGGGTATGCAATACGGCTGGTGCAATCTATGTGGTGCAATCTGCGTGTTGCATGCTACGCGGCGCGCACTACTTGATTCAGAATAGGATGTGTATGCTACGTGGTGCAATATCAGCGGTGTGCGAGTTGTGGTGCAATTGTGTGATGCACCCTGTGTGGTGCAAGCTACGTGGATCAATATATGTGGTGCGTGTGATGTGTTGCAAGCTACTTTGGTGCAGTAGGTATTGTGCGCGCTGCGTGGGGCAACACGCGTGATGCATGCTATGCGGCGCCATCGATGTAGAGCACTACATGCTATAAGGTACGTTGTGCAAGCTGTGGGGTGAAACCTGCGTGATGGCTTGCTGGCTGTCTGAGGCCTAGCTGTGATCCCAACACGGCCCAAAAAGCCAAACAAGATGCTTAAGATGCTCCCAAGACGACCCCAATACCGCCCAAGAGTGGCACAATAACGCCCCAAGAGGCGATGTTGATGGCCCCATTGGGCGGGGTGGGGAGGACATCGAGGACCCCAGTCTCTTGTGATCGACGCCCTCCAAAGATCGCCCCAAGAAGCCCCTTGGGCCTCCCAAGAGGCCCCCAAGAGAGCTCCAAGAGGGCCCCAAGATCCCCACAAAGAGCCCCAATATGATCAATTTTCCTCCCCAAAGAACGCAAAGAGGGCCCCGAGAGGGCCGCGAGAGCGCCTCAAGAGAACTCCGAGAGGGCCTCCTGAGGACGCCACCATGGCTTACAGAGTCCTCGCCCTCGTCCTCCTCGCCTCATGATTGTTCTCTCTCCCTCCACATCATCCACTCCATCCTCATGCTCCTGCTGTTCCTCATCTTCTTCTATACTCTCATTCTCAATTCGCCTTCTGGCTTTTGCCAGGGAAGAGAAACTCTTCCTCCGTCTCATCTCCTCGTTCTCCTCGTTCTCCTTCCTGCCCTCCCACACATGGAGAAAACAAAACGATAGGGAGGCGGCATGTTCATTACGCCTGGCTGGGTGCCAGTCCCGCAAGTGGATGTGGGGGTTGTGGGCCGCCTCCCTCTCCGAACGAACTGCTGCTGGCTCTCCCCCTCATCCTTCCGGACCTCCTCTTCCTCCAATCCCTCATCCTCGCCTTCATCCTCTTCCCCTCAGCCTCGTACACCTATTCGCTGCGCTTCGACGTAGCGGGCAAATCGTCAACTGTTACCAAAAAGCCTTAAACAGAGCACTCAATACCGAAATGGTAATCTTAAGCCTGCTCCCGGAAATCCGATTCCTAACCGCCTTCAGACAAATCCGCTACGTGTGCAGCGGCAACCTCGAGGTTCTGTACGGGTCGCCCGAGGAGGAGGGAGGAACGAAGGATACGTGCGAGCTCCACAGGGGAGTTCACCCGCGCCTACTGGGGCATGGCAGCGAAGACCGTAGTCTCGGCAACAAGATCAGGAGGAGCAAGAGAAAGGAGGCGGGATGGAGACGTCAGGGAGGGGAGGGGAGGCAGGACGACGACGACGCCGGGGCCGCGCCTTGACGGCCGCGTCCTCGTGGGGCTCGCCCTGCTGCGCGCCCTTGGACAGCGCCTCTCGGCGGCGGGTGCCGAGGCCGGCGCCCCACCCACCCCCTGCCCCCCCCCGCGGGCTCGATCGCGCGAGAGCTCGGCCGCGGCTCGATCGCCAGAGGAGTGAGGGAGGTGTTCTGGAAGGTCTTTTAAACAGGGTCCCGAGGCGATCCCAATGGTCTGATGTGGCCTGATGTGGCCAGGAGGAATGACAAGGAGGAGGGGCCTGTATTAGTGTTTCAATCTGCTTTCCGCTTCAGGGGGGTATGCGTTGGGGTCCCAGACCACCCACGGCGGCAAAATAGGCTGTTTAGTTGATGTTCGGATGTCTTTGAAGCTGTTGCGTGCTGTCGATGCTTGTGCACGGCCTGAAATATTACATACTCTGAATGAAGGAGGTCGTCGCTGCCGACCGCCTCATTGTCGCTGATCTCCTCCTCTGGCTCCCCCTCCCCCTGGGAAGGAGGGGAAGCAGAAGTTCTGCTCCTCCTCCTCCTCCTGCTCGTCCGTTTCCTCTTCCTCTCTATATTTCCCACTCTCTTCGTCCTGCTCCTCTTTCCAATCGAAGGGAAGAGGAACAGGAGGAGAAGGGGAACGGAAGAGAAGCTCTGCAGCCACTTTGGCTCAAGCCGTTTTGGCTCAGCGGCATGGCCTTGTAGAGGCCGCTTTCTCTTCCGCTTCTTTTTTCCGCAGGTCCCTGTCGTTTGCCCAGGCCATTGGCTTGCCAACTCCACAACGAGTTCCTGCGCAAGCTATCGGAGGATGCAGGCGAACAGTTTCTCGGACTCCAGCAGAGCAGGCTGGACAACACCTTTTGAATAAGATCGACAAGTTGGACGTTGCCGACAACGTCATGCGGCACATCACGAGCCCAGGGTCTGACCAGATCCTCAAGCTTGTCATGGATTCACCTGGATGTGGCCCACATGGCCCGCCCAACTGTGGTGACATCGATGCGCCAGGGACTAGACGTGACATCGGGTCTTTCGACATCTCTTCGGAAGATGGGGAGCAACAGGATAGCGGGACAAGGGGTAGCGGATCGGAGCAAGACATGTTGCCACTCCCGATCTCAGAAAGGTTGGACGACTACACGAGCAGCGTGTTGGAGTTCAGCGCGGACGTCCTGACCTTGTCAATCACCGCCTACGCCAATAACCAAATCAACAACTGCCACGGAATGCAAATTGATGCGGGTCTTTGAATTGCGGACCTGTACCCGACAAAGGAAATCCAACCGGCCACGTGAGCTCTGACCAGCGTGCAGAACGGTTTCGTCAAACAACTGTTCTTTCGCAGGGTCGCGCGGCCCGCTGCCAACAAACGACTCCCTTTGCACGAAGAACGCTTCGCCTGAAGGCCGCGACCCAAGTCCGCCGCGATTGCGCAGTGGTTTTCGACATGGATTGTGGGGCCGACATGTTTTCCAGCTGCGTGCTGCCACGTGCGCGGGCGCACCTGGCACAGTGTGCGCGTGCCTCGAACGTGGCGCACCTGGCGCCGATGGAGCATTCGGCACCCTCGGCGCACGTGGAGCACGTGGTGGATCTGGCGCATCTGGCGCGCCTGGAACGCTAGGGTCGCAACGGTGCCTGGCGCACCTGGTGCGGGCGACACGCCAGGCACGCGTGGCGCGCCAGGCACGCGTGCCGGCTGCAGGCCCTGCCGTCGCTCGGAGTCACATCGAGGGGGTCCGCCGCGCGCTACCAACGTGACCGGCGCTGATCGCGCCTTGGAGCGGAAGAGCAAAACGACTTCCATTTCTTTTGAACCACCCTTGCAGTTACCTGCGACGGCGACGGCGCCGACGACGTCGGCGGCGACAGCGACGGCGACAGCGACGGCGACGGCGGCGACAGTAACTGCGGCGGCCACGGCGACGGTCCTGGCGGCGACGTCGGCGGCGGCGGCGGCGTTGCCGTCCGGACGCTCCCGCGCAACGCCGAAGGGCCCCGGGAGGCCCCGAGAGGCCCTGGGAGGCACCAGGAGGCACCAGGCGGCACCACGACACACCAGGAGGCCCCAGGAAACCTCATAAGGCTCCAGGAAGCTCCAGGAAACCCCAAGAGGTCCAAGGAGGCCCCGAAAGTCCCTATGAAGCACCAGGAGGAACCAGGAAACACCGCGGTGCCGCAGGAAGCCCCAGGAGGCGCCAGGAGGCCCCAGGAAGCCACAGGAGGCACCAGGAGGCCTCAGGAGGCCCCAGAAAGTCAGAGGAGGCCTCAGGAGGCTCTGGGAAGCCCCAGGAGGCACCAGGAAGTTTTAGGAAGCCCGAGAAAACCCCAGCAGGCAGGGGCAGTCTGGGTCGGGCCGCAGTGGCCTGGTACGCTGCTGGCGACCTGTGGACAGCATGTCAGTAGCTCTGGCGGTGTCCTCTGGCTCTGCGTGGTCGCCGCAAGGTGCTGGCGGGGCGTCCGAGCGAGCCCGCCCAAGGAAGCGCGCGCGGGTCCATCCCCGCGGACCACTTGGGAACGCCGCCAGAAAACCAAATCCAAAAGCTCATCCAATTTCTGCTGCAAAATACAAGGTAAAACAAATTTGATGAGGGATTTGATGGGAAATGGTGCGAAACTTTTGGATTAGTTTTTGGATTTCTTTTTGGATGACGTTGCGGCGGCCTCCAGGGGCAAGCTTTTGGATGAAACCTGGGCCCCCCCCCCCAGGGCAATTTTTGGATAAAATCTGGGCCCCCCCCCCCACGGGAAGTTTTTGGATAAAACCGGGGCGCCCCCAGGGGCAGCTTTTGAATGCCCCCCGTCGCGTGCGGGGGTGGGCGTGGGCCACCTTGGGCCACTGTGGGCCATTCGTGGTCGTGCTCGAGGCCCCGCGCGCGGTTGCCAGCAAGGGCCGCCGCGCCTTGACGCGGCCGCCAGGGTCGGCCCTGCGGCCTTGTCCTCCTGCATATCCTTCTCCTCCCTCCTAGTCGTCCTCCCTCGTCGGCCTCCTCCATCCTAGCTCAATCCCCTCGTCCTGCTCCCTCGTCCTCCTGCCTCCTCGACCCCTTCGTCCTGCGTCGTCATCGTCGTCCGTCCTCCTCGTTCTCCTCCATCGTCCTCCTCCTCCTCCTTCCCCGTTCTCCTCGTCCTCCTCCTCCTCCTCCACCTCTCTCGTCGTCCTCCTCCCTCCTCGTCCTCCTCCTTCGTTTTCCTCCCTCCTCCCTCGTCGTCCTCCCTCCTCGTCCTCCTCCTCGTCCTCCCTCATCGTGTTCCTCTCTCGTCGTCATCCTCGCTCCTCGTGCTCCTCGTCCTCTTCCTCCTCCCTCCTCGTCCTCCCTCCTCGTCCTCCTCCCTCCTCGTCCTCCTCCTCATCCTCCCTCGTCGTCCTCCTCCCTCCTTGTCCTCCTCTTCCGTCCTCCTCCCTCCTCGTCCTCCTTCTCCCCCTCTGGTCCTCCCGGTCCTCCTCCCTCCTCCCTCCTCGTCCTTTTCGTTAGCCTCTAACTCCTCCCTAGTCGTCCTCTCTTCTCCTCCGTCGTCCTCCTCACCCCTCGTCGGAAACACAGGGATTAGGCCAGGACGCGATGCCCAGGGGAACTGCTTGAAGGAAGGGTGCCAGTGAGCAAATCGTGAAATACGTAGGGCGAAGAGTAGTGAAACGATCTTCGGAAGGCCCTGAGCAGAGAGGAGGAGGGAGCAGGAGGGAGCAGGGAGCAGGAGTGCGACACTTTTGGTACTAAACAATCATCGCATTGCTAACGCGAGGTGGCCTCCGAAATTGGGAAGGGTAACGATGAACTTGAGGTATAAATATGTCACAGCCATACTGCTGTTTAAGCAGAAGAGGGCCCTAGTTTTGATCGGATTGTTTGAACAGTGCGGTTCCAAGTCAAAGCTCGTGCGAGATGGGCTGAGTCACTGACTCATCGTCGGGCTCATCCTCGGACGTTTCCATCGACATGGAAGAGGGGGAAAACGATGTTCAACAGGGCCTCAGCATGTTGCGTAACAGCATGAAAAAAAAAAACTCCCCCGCAAAGCCTAGATGCTACGTCATCATTTACGACGTGACACTGATATCTATTTTTACTTGGAAAACCTTGGGCCCACCGTCTGCCATGGTAGCCAAGCGATGGAGGTCTTTACGCGATGCTGGCGAGTCGAAGAAGCCGATGGACTCCCAGGAACTGCTGGGAGTCGAATTCCGAGAATACCATGTCCGTGACAGGGCAGAGTTCCATGGGAAGCAGGGGCCGCAGCAAAGCCCATTCGATATCAGCATCGGCGCAGGCTACAACTGAGAGCTTGTGAGACCGCTATGCCCCAGTATTCCGTCTGCTACGCTCTCAACGCCACTCTCCCTACCTGCATTATGCAATCTTCCTCCCCTTTTTGTTCCCCCTCCTGTTACCAGCGGGGCTGCGAGGTTCACGAGTTGCACCGCTTTCGATGAGCAACGGAAAAGGGGCCGGCTGCCCCCCCCCTCCCCCCGCCCCCCCCGGGGTGGGGTGGGTTGGACTAGACGCGGGCGAGGCGGAGGAGCTGGAGGACTTTCCATTGGCGCTCGAGGATCACCCGACCCAACCATCAGTCGACGCTGTTCCTAATGATCGCCAATGGAAATTAACGGGCATCAGCGGTCAACCATCAGTTGACACTTAAATGTGTGGCGCCATCTCGTTAACCTTTCAGGAAACAAGCAGTTCCTTCCACGCGAGGTGCATTCCGCAGGATAGGCCATAGTGTTGCCCACCCAGTTCCAACGCGCGTTCTGAATCTTGACGACTGGTTGAAATACCGAATAAAGCCGCGCCAACATCGATTTGATGCCCGCTCCAAACCAGGTTGTGAAAAGAACCTCTGGGGCACCAACATTGCAACCAGTGTTGCTTCGCCTTCGTCTTGCAGATATTGTAACTCTGCCCCTAAACCTACAGGCTTGCATTGGCGAGCCTATCCTTCTGTCACGAGTAAAGTGCGTTGAGTGCTAGTATCCGAAGCACGTTTCCTGTTATGCGCAGGGCGCCAGAACTCTGGTCCGCATCGACTGGGAAACGTTTCGGTGATAAGCGCCGCGCCACTGAGCCAC